TTTTCGTGGACTCTCGGAGTTGGGATCGGATCTCGGACTGCTCTGTACGGCTGTGCAGTAAAACGTTTAATGAATTCCAACAGATATGCTCAGTTGATTTTATATAAAGCATGGCCCGAACGCCGACGTCGACGGCGCTGTCCCCGTCGCCGCGCGATTGTTCCGTGCGTTTGTCTTGAAGTGAGTTTTCTCAGCCGACTTGAGTGAGTTTTTTTTTCATCGGAGGAGCTGGTAGCGCGAATCTTGGTGGGGCTCCAAACGGTAGCAAACGTTGGCCTACGTGCAATTTGGCTTTACCCGGCGGCCACGTGATGTTTGTTCTCTTTAGGGGACTCGGAGTGGCAAACTGCAGCGCGGATTCAACTTTCTAGCAAATCAACATTCATTGGCGGTTGCCCATGGTGGTTCCGGTAACCAGTTTTGGGTCTCCAAACGGGTCGATCAGCTGCTGCTGCTGCTGGACGCCCATGCAAATCCGTTTATCTAGCATATGTAATTGGAAAGCTGGCCAGCAACACCTAGGTGCGCAGGTGAAAACAACAACTTGGCCTCTTCCGCCTCGGCCGGCCACTTCCACTTGACCGTGAAATTTGCCATTGTATTTGCTGGATTTAAATGACAATTTACGTTATGCTCGCTTCTGTGATTAAGAATGCCAATATGCATAATTATAATCATAACACAAACGGCGGCAGTGTCTCAACTATGATTGTCGTGAACACACAACACGCTCGTTCGTTCTCAGCCGGAAGCGGAGCAGTCCATGATGCCCCATAGAACCCCAACGGCAGCATCTTTCCGAGCTAAGTGTATCGTTAAACGATTGACATTTATGTGGCGGGCATGCATTATGGATGTGGCTAAATGTTTGCTGCTGTGCGGCGGCCCTTAAAAAACGGCGATAAATGTAAAATTCATGAGGAATGCTTGTCATGCTTGATTAGCTTTAATTTAATACGATTTGCACACTTGTCTGCTGCTATGCGAGAAATGCGTTTGTGTTTAGTCGAGTCTTGTTTTATGTTAGTTGTTTTATGCGCCAACTCTGCAGGGGGGGGCAGTGAGGGGCGGGAGAGAGCAAGTTCAAGTTCAATTCACAGCTGGCCACAAAAGCTCCTTGGCCAGAGCTGCAACCGCCAAAGTCAAAGTGATTGAATATTCAATTTATACTCTCCGCGAAAGGGTTGTGTCAGCTAAAGGTATAGACTTTACGGTTGCATGTCTGCAAAAATTGTGTTTAAAATGATTTAAATTGATGATTCCACATTTTTAATTGACTTATTTAATTTAACAAGAGTTTTAGATGAACATTAATTAAATTTAATCATTCTAAAGAGTTTGCTTTCTATAAAATAGATAAAGACAAATCGATAGCAAACCAATATACATTCCTTTGTTGAAGATAAATATTACATTTCACCAAATAGTACACGTTTAGTTTTTATTAAAATTTTATTTGGCTCAATTAATAAAGTATTTATTATAGTTAATCATTCAATTATCTAATAAATCCTTAAATATTATAAAATAAACTTCCTATTGCCTTAGATGCATCAATATTCCTGGAATTTCTGACAGCATCTATTGCCAGCTTTATTACCCATTCTATGGGCGATAGTTCAGATCTTTTTTTTGCGAGGGCATTGTCTCGCTGGCCTTCCGTTCTCCGTTCTGTTCTCTTTGGTTTTTGCATTGTATTTGAATCCACGGCGAGAGGGTCAAGTTCAGACTCAATTGCTGTAAGCGAGGCAATTAATGCGGCTAATTACTGATTGCCATTGATTTATGCTGAATCAATTAGCCAATTGCCTTGCGCGTACTTTGGCTTTCTTTGCCAGGTTCGATTCGCTGCTCGGCAGCAGGTTATCAATCATTGAAATGCCGAGCGGCCTCAGACTTGGCCTGTCTTGGCCTGGCCCCAGGTTATTGCCACTTTGAGGAATTGAAAAGTTCGGCGTTCGGGTCTCGGATTTCGGACTTCGGATTTGTTTGGGCCCCAGCTTGTCCGCACATGACAGCCGATAGCTACAATATACACCAGACAAATGAGCTTTTAAGCGTGCTACTAATTGCCAGATTCTATCTGGCCATAAATAGCCAGTGACGCGATGTCCCAGCTATGTTGATAGCCACATCCTGCTGTGGGAAAACTCTGCCACGCGAACCATTAATCACTCCAACTTTCATTAGGGAGCTTGGGCTTTCGGGCCTCCACTTGGCCCCCACTCCCCTTTACACTCCCTCTGAGTACCCGATCCCGAAATAACCGCCATATTTCACTCACAACCATGAGGAAGTCGATCGATCGCACAGCTGAGGTGACTCAAGCCGCCAATCGACAAGAACAAATGACGAAAAAAAATGTATATATCTCGGCGGAAACTGGCTCAGATAATACATTAAGCTTTGGGGAGGTGAAAAGTGAAATGATTTCATAAATGACTGATATAATTAGGCAGGTTATATGCCAATTAGCGGCGTGTTGAGGAAGCATCAGAATCTCCATCGCCGCCTTTCACAGCTGACGCACCTGACACAGGTGATCTTTCACCGTTAGCCGCTCTCTGGCTGCCAATTAGCTAATTGTGCCCAAATGCGCATTTGAATCGGACAAATGCCTGCATTCCTGTCGCATTTGCATTATCGGCGATCGATTGTTCTCACGATCACTCCACGACCTTGACAGTGACCCCCAAGCACGCGCCGAGAAGAAAGCTATCGGGTGGTGGAAGTGCCGCTGGAACCGCAAGTGGAACTGGAACTGGTTTTCCCCCCGCCCCGTTTTCAAGAGCCGAGGCGTGAAGGCGCCAATGTGCGTGTGCAATAAGCCATAAAAACGTCTCTCGCAGCAGCGCAGCGCCGACCGTTACCATGACAAACGGAGCTGCGTTGTTGGCGTTGTAAGCCGATCCAAAGCGATTAATAATAAACTGGTTGGACGCGTGAATTAAGCCCCGAAAAAGGGGGAAACTGTCCAAAACAATAATTTGCATTCATCAGTTTAGTGGAATTAGCTGCACTTCCGTAACAAATTTATAGCTGGTGCAATTTGTCCCATATTTGTGGAGTACTCCCATGTCCTACATTAGAGATAGAAAAATATTGCATGTATACAAGTCACATACTATTTCTTTTTTAATTTTATTAAATGAACACATTATTATTTGCTCAAGAAATTTCTCTTGACTTTCACAGGGAAATTTTAAATTATTTAATTTATTTGTTTTCATATTTGTATAAAAGTTCAAAGTTGTTCCAGATTGAATTAAAAGTGTTAGCTGCTTCATATGCTACTTCAAACTCGATTAAAAAACCTAACGCTTGATAGGCAGTTTCGATAACTCACCGAGAATTCAGTGGGACCAGAGGCCTGATGACTGCCAACCACAGCCGATAGTTGCCAATCACAGTAAGTGAGTCACTAGTACCCGCATTGCTCACCACTAATTGGCCGGCGAAAAAAACTTGTCTTTATTTTCGACAACTTATTAAGCAACTTGGAGGCCAACGAATGCAGCCATGACCAAGCCGACTGGCGCACACTGTTCCCTGGCGCTGCTGGCGCTCCTCGCCGCCCCGTTGGCAGTGCTGGGCGAAGTGGATATGCCGGACGAGGGAGAGTACATGAAGCGGGAGCACTCGCTGGTGCGTCCATTCCAAGGTGGGTTTCGCTTTAGGTCTCGGTTTTCGAAGCGAAGGTTTACGTGTACTTGGAACGTGGCTACATCTCCGCTTGGTTGCAGGTGTGGGTGTGCTTCTGCCGCACTGGGACTTCATGGGCAACACAATGGTGACCGGCAACTACATAAGACTGACACCGGACTTGCAGTCCAAAAGCGGCGCCCTTTGGAACTTCTCTGTAAGACTAATTGGCATTCACTCCCTTGCCTGACCTTATCAGCATTCTGTGTTTTTTTTTATTACTCTTCAAGCCCGTAATGGGGCGCAACTGGGAGGTCCATGTGGGCTTTAAGGTTCATGGAAAGGGCACTGAGCTCTTCGGCGATGGCTTCGCAATTTGGTACACAAAGCAGCGCATGGAGACGGGACCGGTGTTTGGCAGCAAGGACCACTTCTCCGGGCTGGCCATCATTCTGGACACCTACAGCAATCACAATGGGCCCCATAACGTAGGTAAATCCTAGGCAATACTTACCATGTTATGGAGGAACTTGCTCCTTTTGCAGCACCAACATCCTTATCTGAGCGCCATGGTTAACAACGGCAGCTGGAGCTACGATCACGATCGCGACGGCACACACACCCAGCTGGCCGGCTGCGAAGTTCGCTTCCGCAACGTGGATTATGAGACGCTCATCAGCATTCGATACGAGAACGACATTCTGTCTGTGTCCACGGATCTGGAGAATCGAAACGAGTGGAAGAGCTGCTTTGTGGTGGCCAATGTGGAACTGCCCACTGGCTACTACTTTGGACTGTCTGCCACGACGGGCGATCTGTCCGACAATCACGACATCCACAGCTTCAAGTTCTACGACATCGATGATGTAAATACAAGTGTAAGTGGTTATTATTTATTGTGTTGGAACCGACAAATAACCAATTATATTCCTTTGCTTACAGCACGAGGAGATTATTCGACGCATGAATATTATTCCGAATGCCAAGACCTTCGAGCCTCCGCGCGAACACAAAGACGATCCCAAGCCGGGCATGTCTAACGCCAAGATCTTCTTCATCCTCCTGTTTGTAGTAGTTGCGGCGGCGGCGGTGGCCATCTTCGCCATTTCCTACTTCAAGGATCGCAATGCGCGAAAGCGTTTCTACTGAGGCCATCCCTCGCCTCCTAAGCTAGTCCAACCAAGCATCTTGTTAAGAGTTTCCCGGACCTCACAGTTGATCGCAACATTTATTTATACACACAGCACAGAACAGACTGTATCCCATTCTGCCCCTAGTTTCCTTAAATGTCATTCCCATATACTATTTTTTCGAGAGATCAGGGTAGACATAATATCGCACGTGTTGGAGAGTTAAAATTAAGCGCAAATTTTTAATCTGAACTATAGGAAAATTGAGACCGTGAGAATATTATTGCATAGACAAGATTAAAAAGCCACCAAACAATCGCATGCGCTTCTCACTTAACCAGGCCACTCGTATTCACCGTTAGTGCTGGCGCCCAGCCAGCATGGACTCGATCTGACGCACCTGGTTGCTGACAAACCGATCCCGGGCGCTCGTCCCCTGTCGCTGCTGTTCCGATGGCTCGCAGCTCTCCGACTCCAGCGCATCGTTGGACTTGTGCATGCCACTCAGGATGCACTGCTCGAACAGGGACTTTGATCGTGCATCGTCGTCATCGTCGTCCAGCGAATCATCCGAGCTGTAGCTCGGCTTGTCACCATTCTCCTCCGGCGGCGGCTGCTGCTGCTTCTTTAGGCCATTTGTTGTCCTGGTCAGAGTGCTGGTGCTGGTGTTGGCCAAGCTGGAACTGGTGCTGGCTCCACTGGGTTGGGGTCGGCAGCTGCCCGCCGCAATGGCCTGGGGATAAGAGGGGAAAAAATAAACTAATATTTTAACAGCTTTCTCGAGAAGGGAAAATAAGCATATAAGTAAAAGACTTTCTTAAGAAGGAGGAAAAATAAGCTAATATTTTAATGACTCTCAAGGAGTGCAATTTCTTGGTCATACTGCCTAAGCCTTCCATAACATTCCGACTCGAAATCAAGGTTAATTGTTTCTTAAAGAAACCAATTCTTTAATTCTTATGTGAAAAACCAATATCAAATAAAAGTAAATTAAGACTGTGGTACGCATTTATCCTAAAATAATGTTGTATCTTTAGTTGACTAGCAAGGATCGAGAACTAAACCAAACCGCTCTCTACAGGTGGCCATTGAAAGAGCTGGGAATTTTTTTGGTTAGTTCGGTGCAAAACGATCCACTTTTCAAAAAATTGTTGTGAAGAAACAACTAAGATTAAGATTAATCAGTTCTTACCTGGCTTAGTAGATTGCTATCATCATCGTCCGAGTCCATGGACAGTGAGCTCAACGAATCGCTTCTTTTCGGCGGCAGGCGAGGCTCAACTTCCCCAGGAATGGCACTGCGTCTGGGCGGTAGCTTGGGCGCCTCTTCCGAAGCTCTCATGGGAAGACTTGAAACAGGGCCCGCTTTGGCGGAGCCTACGGTGAGATGAGATAGTCCGGAGATGACCGAAAAGGTGCATGGACTGTCCTCCACATAATACTTGCTCATTTCATCCGACACTGGCAGATAACTGGGCAAGGCACTTCCGCCGCAACGCATTTTGGAAATCGCATCCTCCGCCGGTGTCCGGGTGTCAATTCCTAAGACAATTGGCTTTTTCGTGGACACAGACTCGTCCTCGTTGGCGTTAATGTCATTGGGTATCGACAGAATGGAAAGATCACTGTTGCTGGGTGCCTTGGAGAGCACCGCCGGCGTGTCTTCCGTGCAATAGCTTCGAGGAGCATCCGCATTGCCATTGATGTCATTGACACGCGGTCCTCGATTTGCGTTCGCATTGGAGTCGTCCAGCATGCTCAGGTTACTCAGGCTGGTGGCACAGGAGAAGTTAGCAGGCGTGTGCTCCTCGTGGAACCGGCTAAGCTTATCCTCGAAAACATTGCCAGGCGGCTGGCGGACAGGCGTCTGCGTGCTCAGCTGTGCAGGATCCGGCATCTTTCGGTCTCGTTTGGGAGACTGAGGCATGCTCTGGGTGGGCGAGTCGGGTAGCTCCGATGGCGATATGACGCCACTTTGCATCCGGCTGTATTCGCTGATCACGGAGCCGTTGTCCTCGCAGGCAATGGTTTCGTCGTCGCCCACCAGGGAGTCCATCGAGCTGCGCCGCGAGAACATCAAGGGAGTTTCCAGCGCAGAGTCGATGATCTGAGGCTGGACAATGGGTTGTTTCGTGGGTGTTTTGGGGGGCACTGACTTCTCCGGCTTCTCGGACAGACTGTTGAGGGAGTCAAAGCGACTGAAGCTCCCAGGCGTGCCCTCCTCACAGTAGTTAATCGGACGCTCCCGCTCCCCAGTTTCCGTCTCGCCTTCGGTCGTTAGTTTCTGCTTCGCTGCTGAAACCGGCAAGTGACCTGCTTCATTGGGCAGCTTCGAGGCCGAGGATGACTTGGCCAGTGGCAGGGCATTGCTGGTAGCTTTGTTGGCCTCCACCTTTAGCTCTGGCTGCGCCGACGACTGCACTGATCGCCTCTCCTTATATCTGGCACTAAAGTCTGTGGGCTGGTCCAAGTCAATCTCGAAGGTCTTGGAGCTATTGGGTTTATGTTCCATATATTTCATGGAGTAATCAATGGGCTGCTCCTCGGTGGGCGTGACTATTTCGAACGGATTCTTGGCACCCTCCGACTTGGTCGAGTATTTTGTAGAGTCCGATTTTCCCGAGTAAATGGACTCGCGGCTCTCGCACTTCCTAGCGAGGAAACCTCCAGTTGCGCTCACCGTGGAAGGTCGTACCTTCTTCAGTGATCCTGTAGGATTTGAGCTCAGTCGGAGTGAGCTGTACCGACGGGGCAGAGTTCCTGCGTGGCCAGACTCCTTGTCCAGCGGCAACGATCCGCCGTCACCGTTGGGCATCAGCTCCATGGTGGCCCTAAAGTTGACCAGATTCTTAAGGGCCGAAGCGCTTCCCTCGGCGATCATTGAGTTCTTTGAGCTGATCAGAGCGCGCAGCAGTGGAATGGCGTTGTGGTCGATGAGGAACTGCTGATCTTCGGGACAGCGGGCTGAGAGGTTCCACAGGGTGCCGCACGAGTTGCTGACCACAGTCAGGCACTCGGACTTTAGCTGTTGCAGGAGGATGGCCAGACAATTGTGACGTCGCAGGATCTGGCGGTAGGGCTCACACACAGCAATGTGACTGGAAACGTTCCGCAGAATGCCACCAGCGTTTTCGATGATCTTGAGAGTCTTGCTCGGCCCCTCGTAGCTCAGCATTCCGACCAGAAAGGCCAACGCCCCATCCACCGCACAGAATTCGGCTTTGTTGGTGCTGCAGTGTGCGGAGAGATTCCACAGGGCGGAGAGTATGGCCTTCAGAGTATTCTCGCTCTTGTTCTGCATGGCCGCTCGGGCCAAGGACGTCACCGTGCCCAGCTCATTGAAGATGGTTTTCATATGCTTGTCCGCGCGCCACGAGAGATTGCGCAGCACTCCAGCAAGGACCTGCAGCAGTTCGTCCGGAGCCGTGTTTAGCTGGGCAATGACCACTTCCATGAACTGGCGCTGGCCGCACAGGTACGACTTGTTGTGGACGTTCTCGTCTCCGAACGTGAGATTCGTCAGGGCCATCAGGCCGTAGCTCCTCAAGGCGTTGCACTGTTCCCGTCCCGCTGCCGGGCCGTGGACCGCGTGGTCAAGGTGCACAAGGTTGGGAATCGCTTTAAGGGCGCCCAGCTCGCACATCGTCTGGCGGTGCTCCTCGTCGAAGCTGGCCTTCATTAGCAGCTTCATGGCCGCCAGGGGATGCCGATCCTCATCGTCGGCGATCGCCTCGCCCCCGCTCTGCAGTTGGGTGCGCAGGAAGTTGCAGTAGTCCAAAATCTGGTCCAGAAGGCGCAGAATCTTCACCTCCCGCTGGCGCTCCTTCTCCTCCGGATGGCTGTGGACGATGTTGTGCAGCGCCTGGCTGGCGTACTTTCGCGCCGTGACCAGTCCCTCGTCGTTAGCGTGCAGGATCTGCACCAGCAGCTGGATGCAGTCGGAGCTGCGGAGGGCAGTGCAGGTCTCAGCATTGCGCGATAGCTCCAGGAAGTTGCGCGTTAGCTCCAAGCGGGTGGCGTCGCTCTCGTTCAGCGTCATGGCTTCGAATGTATCCGTTCTGGCCCTTGGGCAGGTAGCAGGAGTTCCGAGAAGAGCCCGGTTTTACGTTAGCTCCGGCAGGTAGTTCACCAGTTGATCCTCTGAGCCGCGATCTTTGTTCTATGTCCTGCGTTTAGGCCATTTTCCAAGCGCTTCGCGCAGGCCTAGTGCTCTTGCCAGTGTTACCAAGTCCGAGGAATTAATCTCGGTCCAACGAATGCTTGCGATTGTGAGCGCAAATTTCAAAAGGTAATAAAATCCCTAAAAAAATTATAAAATTTAGACCATAAAATATAAACTATTTAAAAGGGTATGAGTAAACATTATGAAAGTTTAAACTAGAAAAAACCAATCTGTAAATAATTTAGCATTTTACACACAATACACATACAAATTTAAAATAACCAAATACCGTAAAGATTTGTGTTACGTTTTTCTTTTCAAATAAAAGTAGATTACTTAAAGCCGAAACTATAAATATAAATTAAATTTAAATAATTTTTTAATCTCAAGTTTGTTAACACTTATCGATTTCTTTCAGCACAAATCTCCCATCTCTAATCAGCCGTTACGTCACGCCAATCAGCTGTTGCTGGACGCAAAATTGTTCCTGCCGGAAAATAATGAATTTCCTTAAAAAGGTGAGTTAAAAATTGATATAAAATATGTTTTTAATCCCAACTATCACAGCTGGTGCCGCAGGTGGCGTTGGCGGAGGCCCAGCTGCTCAGTCGCTCGAGCATCCACACCAGCGCCGTGTGCTGTCGCGTGCAATCGGGGCGCTACCGCATAACCACAAAGCGGAACAGGCCGCTCACATACGAGATGGCTAATCCGCCGCATTTCATTGGCCACCGCAAGTCGTGGAACTCTTGGAACACTTGTGAGTTGCAAACAATTTATTAGAGATCAATATTCACGGAATCATTTGCTCCTTTTCAGCCACCCTGGAGGATGGCCTGCGCCCCTCCCAGACCGCCATCGAGGATGTGTTCATTCGCAAGTTCATGACGGGCACCTGGCACGCCCTCGTCTGCTCCGAGGTCATCATCAAGCGGCAACACAACACTATTCGAATCGCGGCCCTCATCCGGCAGGCGATTACTCCGCGCAAAATGTACTTCCTTATCGGCTATACGGAGGAGCTGCTCTCCTACTGGATGCAGTGCCCAGTGACCTTGGAACTGCAGACGGTGGGTGACAAGAACGATGTGATCTTCAAATACATTTAGTTGCTTTCTTTCGCCTTTATATGCCCAATATAAAAAAAATTAGAATAATGTAACTAGTGTGTGTACTCGACTTCGCTGTTGTTGATCTGCAGCGATTTGATGGCCTTGTTGACAATGACGCCATCGAGATCCTTTACCTGGGGGAGCATTAAAATGTTGAGAAGAAAATTGGTTTGGAAGGCACTTCACTTACCCCTTCTATCAGCCTTTTAACCTCTGCCAGGGACTTTTGCTTAAGAATCAGGGACCTTAAGTCCTTCACTATCTCAATAAATAGGAAAACGACAATCTTCCGAGATCCACCGCACACTTTGTCCCATATCTTAACCAGGACAGTCTCGCAAATAACGCCCGCAAAGCAAGTGATGTACCAGTTCTCGAGCAGCGTGGAGTTGCCATCGAACATTCCCAGCTCCTCCAGGTGGCTGTTGAAAGGATAATTTAAACAATAAGGCACTTCCTTTTAGGTCCAATTGGTAACTTACCTGAACAACGGATGGTCTTCGCGCTTGAGCAGCATCTGTGTTTGTTCCTTAAGCTTGGCACACTCCTTCTTTAGCTCGCGGGTGTACTTGTAGAATCCCTTGGCTATCCAGTAGGTGTCCACGTCGTCGTTGAATATCTGTAGCAGGGTCCGCACAATCTCGATAAAGTGGGTGTCGTCCGCCTGGAGACTGGGACTGGCGGTCCCGTGCCACAGTCGATTGGACTCCAGCAGCCACATGGTGTGCATCACTAGCTCCTTCTCCTTCTGGGCAGCACATTGAAGTACCGTCACCGCTCGCAGCAGATCCTCGTAGACCTCACGTCTCTGGTCGCGTATATAGGCCGTCGAAGCCTTGTGGAGCGGCAAGATGCCCATGACCAATGCCCACAGATAGCTCCTGTGTATGTTGGGTACCGTGTAGTTCATGCAGAATTGCTTTAGTTTGTTCAGGTTGCGGACATCATCTTGGAGGAGTTTGTTCAGTGACTTCTTCTCCTCCACGCTGTTGATCAGGCATTTCTCATAGTAGCTGGAGCGGAAGTTTCGCTCGTCCGTGTTCATGGTCTCGGCGGGATCTGGACAACCATGAAAGCTTTTTTAGATTCTCCTTGGAACAACAAATTGGCAATAGCGATGGTAAGTAGTTCGATATACCGTTCGATAATTCTTGAAGGCCGACTTTGCCAATACCGTTTAAAAAAAGGATACATATAAGGCATCTAAAAAATATTTTAAAGGATTTAAATACAATAAGGATTAAATACAATACTTAAATTTAAATTGACCAGTAATAAAAAACCATGCAAAATTCCGAATACTCTCTTTCAGGGTACAGTTATCGATAACGGCTCATGAAAATACACTGCTTTTGTCATCGATGGCTGCCCACCCCTAGTACCCACTGGATGCAAAAAATAAATGAGAAGGTAAACAAAATGTGCAAATCGTGGCTTAAAAAAGCAATTACACCTAAATGCCAAGCCTCCGGAAGTCAAACGGAAGTGCCAGAGTTACGGAGCTGAAGGGTTAAAGTCGGAAAACGGGATATCTGTGTATACACGCTCTCGAGGCTGTTGCTCGCCAGCATATGAAAATCAATAATTGAATCAGAAAATCAAAACACGGATTTTTGCCCAGATGCGAGCGGGCCCGCGATAAATTATGCAATTGTTGCAGCCATTAACGACCACCCTCCCACCCGCTGCCGTTCCCGTTTTCGGTGTCGGTGTCGGTCTTGTCTTGGCCCCGTTACCAGTTGATGTATTCAAATGCTGAGCTCGATTTTGGCCGTTGCCGTTGTTGTTGCTGCTACTGCCACTACTGCCGTGCACGTCGTTGTAATTGGGTGTCGCGATGGAGCAGGAAATCGGCACATGGGACTCAGTTCTGCTGGAGAACCTGTCCGAGGATAGCTTCATAAATAACATCCACCAGCGCTACAAGCGCGATCACATATATGTGAGTCTGGAGGATTGATCTCCCACACATTCCCTTACATTGTTTCTTCTTGCAGACCTACATTGGAACTTCTGTTGTGGCTCTAAATCCATATCATCACATATCCGAGCACTCGCTGGACAACGTCCGCAACTATGGCGACAAGGGCATCTTCCAGCTACCGCCCCACATGTATGAAGTGATCGATCTGTATGTTTTCAGCTCATTGTTACCACATCCATTTATCCCTTCTAGATATGGCCTCACGAACCTGGCCTACCAGTCGCTCAAGGACCAAAGCGAGGACCAATGCGTACTCCTCACAGGCGAAAGTGGGGCGGGCAAAACGGAGACATTTAAAATGATCGTGAACTTCCTGACCCACATCCAGGATCGCACGCACTGCCCTCCCACCCCGAATGTCCTGCGCAAGCAATCCTCGACCAGCTCGGCCAGTGGGGTATTGCTGCACGCGCACAGGCGCGCCTCCAGCAGCTGCTCCGGCACTGCCAATTTTATCATTTGCAAGAACCGGGCTGAAAACCCGGCCCCGGCCATTAATTCGCGGCGCCAGAGTCCCTCGCCAGGACCCTCGCAGCGTTCGCGAACCAGGGCCGAGAGCATCGAGCGTCAGACCAGACGCCACATGCGCGAGAAGATCGTGGACTTTGACTTCTCGCATCACAAGAGCAGCGAGAACATCAGCGGCCTGCTCGAATCGCATGCTCACCACTTGCACCCGACCAAGTCGTGTTTCAAGCACCAGCAGACCCAAGTCGGAGCTGCTGCCAAGGGATCGCCCAAGTATGCCGTGCCCTCCGTTTCGGGCTATGGAGGCTGCCGCCAGTGCGGTCACAGCAAGTGCGTTCGAGCCCAGAGTCTGGAGAAGGAGGAGCGGACCGAGCTTCGCGGCAGCAATAGTCGTTTGTCCACCACCGCCGCCCATTCAGCGCATCCGCACCGCGGCAGCTGCTCCAATCTGATGCGCCAGCACTCGACTGAGAGCCAGCCAGAGCGGGAAAGGGATCGAAACTCCCTTACGGGCTCGACGCAACGTATATCGCTGTACGATGCACACAAGCTTAGCAAGGTGCTGGGCGACCTGCCGCCCCCGCCGCCGCCGAGTTCAGTGTCACCCACGCCCTCGGCCAGCTCCTCGCTGCACAGGCGCCACAAGTCGCCCACGCAAAGATTGCGCGAGTGCGTCACCTGTGCGGATGTGTTCCTGGAGGCCATGGGCAATGCCTGCACGCTAAAGAATAATAACTCAAGTCGATATGTAAGTGTAAATTACCAAAAAATTGATTTTTTGTTTACGTTAAGTTGGAATATCTCAAACACCTGACGTATAGCTTCCCCTTCTTGATAAAAAAGAATTGATCCTTAATGTTTTGGGTTTCTCTTTAGGGCAAATTGTTTGATATTGAAATTGACTTCAAGGGCGATCCGATGGGAGTGCACATAACTCACTGTAAGTAAAACAACTAGCGCCATACACTAATTATATGTATAACAATCCGTACATTTTCTTCGTGCTTACCCCTAAGATATGTTGGAAAAGGTTTGCCCAATTTCTATACAACTGTTTACCCTTAAAGTTACCCCAATTTATAATGTATTTTCCCTCCACAGACCCGTATAACGGACACCATCATGGGAGAGCGAAACTTTCACATATTTTACCAGTTACTATTAGGGGCTGATCTCCAATTGCTAAGTAAGTTCAAGAGAAGCGTTTAAAGGAGATTACTAATACTCTTTGGTGTCTAGAATCCCTCAAGCTGTACAGGAATGTGGAGAAGTACGAGCTGCTTCGGAACACAACTGCCATGGAAGAGGATCGCATGAATTTTCACTATACCAAGGTACAAGCAAGTGTTTTAGATCCTTTAAAGTTTTCTATTAAAAATTAATAATATTATTATTTTAATATTTAATATATTTTTTTAAATTTTTTCTTTTAAAAATTAATAATAATAATATTTTTTATTATTACATTTTTGTTTTTAATATTTTTTTCTATAAAAAACTATTATTATTTTAGTATTTAATATATTTTTAATTGTTTTTTCTATTAAAAATAATAATATTTGAAAATTTATAATATATCTCTTGATATTTTAATATGTATATTTTTTTAATATTTTAGCGGTCTCTTGATGTGCTGGGCCTTAGCTGCGATGAAATCAGCTCTATTTTTCGAGTCATTGCTGTGGTGCTAAAATTGGGCAACTTCATTTTTGTGCCCATCACCAACATCGATGGAACCGAGGGCTGTCAGGTGTCGAATGTTTACGGTAAGTCGCAGGCTAAGCAAGCTTATAAAACAATTATAAATGAAATGTGCCCTTACAGAGGTCCAGGAGACAGCACAGCTCCTCAATATGGAGGCTCAGATTCTGATCAACTGCTTGACCAGAGCGAACAGCTCAAACAGCGCCCAGGAGGATGTGGGCTGCGAAATGGACGCCAGGCAGGCGGCTTGCAACCGGAACACGCTATGTCGCACGCTCTACAGCCGCCTGTTCACATGGCTGGTCAACAAGATCAACGAGTCCTTGAAATCGACGCAGCGCGAGAAGAACCTGGCCCTGCTGGACTTTTACGGATTCGAAGTGCTTGACCACAACTCCTTCGAGCAGTTTGCCATAAATTATAGCGCGGAGAAAATACATCAGGCAGGAATTATTAATTTTTAAAAAGTTTTGAGACTAATTCATAACTTAATTGGTTTTTATTTCGCTTCCAGAACTTTGTTTTCCATGTGCTGCGCTCCGAGCAGGAGCTGTACATCCGCGAGGGATTGGAGTGGTCGCGGATAGACTACTTCGACAACGAGTCCATCTGCGAGCTGATAGACAAGCCCAGCTATGGCATCCTCAGCCTGATAAACGAATCCCATCTAAACAGCAACGAGGCGCTGCTCTCGCGCGTTCAGCAGTGTTGTGCGGGGCATCCCAACTTCATGACCACCGGCAGCAATTCCATGTGCTTTCAGTTAGTATCTGGGGTTATTACCATCTCTCGGATATGAAATCCTAATTCATGGTTTTGCATTTTTTAGAATTCGACACTTTGCCAACGTGGTGAACTACTCAATACACCGGTTCCTCGAGAAAAACTCGGACATTCTGCCAAAGTACATCAGTGCCGCCTTCTACCAAAGCAAGTTGTCGCTAATACAGAGTCTATTTCCCGAGGGCAACCCTCGCCGTCAGGTCACCAAGAAGCCCAGCACGCTGAGTTCGAACATCCGCACCCAGCTCCAGACCCTGCTGGCCATCGTGAAGCATCGCCGCTCCCACTACGTGTTCTGCATTAAGCCCAATGAGGGCAAGCAGCCGCACCAGTTTGACATGGCGCTGGTGCAGCACCAGGTGCGCTACATGTCTCTGATGCCACTGGTCCACTTGTGCCGCACCGGCCACTGCTACCACCTGCTGCACGTCAAGTTCTTTCACCGCTACAAGCTGCTCAACAGCCTCACCTGGCCGCACTTCCACGGCGGCAGCCAGGTGGAGGGCATAGCCCTGATCATCCGAAACCTGCCGCTGCCCTCGGCCGAGTTCACAATAGGCACCAAAAATGTGTTCGTGCGCAGTCCGCGCACCGTCTACGAACTGGAGCAGTTCCGCCGCCTGCGAATCGGTGAGCTGGCCGTGTTGATCCAGAAGATGTTCCGCATGTACCATGCTAGAAAGCGCTACCAGCGTATGCGACAGAGCCAGATGATCATCTCGAGCGCCTGGCGGACGTGGCGGGTAAGTTCGGCTTTGCAATATCGGTCCTCTAACGCACAGCATGACTTGATTTTTTCTTTAACTTTAATTTTATGCATGTTAGGAGTGCCGTTTTGGCATTCCCTTCACGGGTCGTAGGCATTTATGGAGTTTATATCGTGTCGTAAGCATTGCCAATGTTCTATTGTATTCTTAATTTAATTTTAACAAATAATAGAAGCTACATATACCCTTGCAGTGTTCGTTTCCAAACTATAAAAAGTACTGAAACTGCTAGAACTATATGATATACGAATCTGGTTAGGATGTAATCGAGAGGAGAAGTCGGATATATAAAAAGAGTTCTATATTTAAAACATTGCTGTTTTTTTTTTCTTCCTGGCATTTTAATTTAATATTATATATATTATATTATATTATTATAATTTTTTCAATAAAAAATTTAGTATGCAGATTTATAAACCTTCTAAAAACTAGCAAAGAAAAGCTTTCCCTATTTGTTATGGTTTTTAAAACTTTGTTTTGTCAAAAAAATAAATAAAATAACATGAAAATTTAGATAAGTATCCATTGAAAGAATGCAAATATTTCCTTCTAATTTCTTCTTAAAGAATATTATGATTTTATTTAGTGAAGGAGTCATTTGCGACCCTATAAACCATATATGTTCTTGATCACCACCATCAAGCGAGTCTTTTAGCCTCGTCAGGAAGAACACAAAATTTGTTCATTTTCTTTGAAAATTTGATAAGGAATTACATCGTTAAAATTCTCAAAAAATAGGCAACATTTTCAAATTGTTTTAATTAAAAATTCGATATGCAGATTTATTAAAAATCTAACAACTAACATAGAAAATCTTTCCGAACTGAATTTGTTTCATTTTTAGTTAGGATCGATTTTTAATTCGATGTCATGATCTCATGTCAAGCTGCAAGGGTATCTAAATTTCGGCTTCCCGAAATTAATATTCTTTTTATTTATTTTATGTGTGTATATTTTATGTAAAAGCCTTATTAAATTCATGAAATATCAGATCAATTTAAATGTAAAATCCAAAAAAAATAAGCTTGTTATAATATTCGATTTGCATGTTAGTTTTTATTTCACACATTTTCACGATTTATGCATTCCCCTACCAGGCTCGCGAAGAGTATCGGTCTCTCAAGTACAAACGCCAGGTTAAGTGGGCCATCGACGTGATAGGACGCTACTATCGCCAGTGGAAGATCCGGCAGTTCCTGCTGACCATTCCCCTTCGACTGCCCCCGAACACGTTGAGTCCGCTTTCCACAGAGTGGCCGGCGGCTCCAGTCTTTCTCGCAGACGCCTCGCGACTGCTGCGATCCATCTACCATCGCTGGAAGTGCTACATTTACCGCAACTCCTTCGATCAGACGGCGCGCAATCGAATGCGGGAGAAGGTCACAGCCAGCATCATCTTCAAGGATCGGAAAGCCTCCTATGCACGAAGGTATGGGGTTTCAGACCGTTTTACTTAGCAGCTTGAGCTCATAAGGTTCCATTTTTTTTGTACACAGTGTGGGACATCCCTTTGTGGGCGACTATGTCCGACTGCGGCACAATCAGCAGTGGAAGAAGATGTGCTCCGAGACAAATGATCAGTACGTGGTCTTTGCGGACATCATCAACAAGATAGCTCGCTCCAGTGGCAAGGTGAAGCGCAGAATATGGTTCTCAAGTGGAAAATTGTATGCTTACATTGATGATTTCAGTTTGTTCCCATTTTGTTGGTCCTGTCCACCTCCTCGCTGCTGCTGTTGGATCAGCGAACGCTGCAAATCAAGTACAGAGTGCCTGCCTCGGAGATCTACCGAATGTCGCTGAGCCCCTACCTGGATGACATTGCCGTGTTCCATGTGAAGGCGGTAAGCGACGGCCAAGAGCTGTGAATTTGTAACAGATTCAGATTTTTTCTGTATCTTCCAGTCGGAATTTGGCCGCAAGAAGGGAGACTTTGTGTTTCAAACGGGTCACGTCATTGAAATTGTCACCAAAATGTTTTTAGTCATTCAAAATGCTACAGGCAAACCGCCCGAGATACACATAAGCACAGAGTAAGTACCCAGTCTCGCGAGTCTAGGGTCACGACTTTATGTACCTACTTCAACCCCGCAGATTTGAAGCCAACTTTGGCCAACAGACTGTCATCTTCTCGTTCAAATACGGCGGCATGTCGGACTTAGCACAAGGCCCACCCAAGGTCACGCGCAAGGCGAACCGCATGGAGATAATTGTGTGATCCACAGCAGCATCGGACGGGGAATCTAATCGGGACAGCTCTTCGCCTTAGGTGGAACAACTCCACGGTTTTCACTGGTCATCATGCAACTGCAATCGATGTATTGCTCTTTGCTGTCGTGTTGAGGTCTCTCGACTTTTATATGTGGTCCCAGGGATCAAAATACAATTTTAGCAATAATATACTTAATTCTCACACTCTCACACTCACGACACACACACATAGAGACACAGTATAGTTTTGTTCACAAGTGACAATCAGAGTAACCCATTTGTTGTCAGAATTGTGCCAAAAAGCAAGGAAAGCGAAGGAGTAGAACAATGAGCGAGCTAATTTTAAAACAGCACCTTATTTTATTTAAAAAGAAAAGCAACTAACGAAGTGAACAACTGAATTTAAGCCTCTAATTTCTCGAGCTAGGTTAAGAGTAATAGGTCATGCACCAAGTCAGTCGATTAGCATTGCAACAATACAAGATCAGGAGCAGGCGTAGGTTGAGTTGGATTTTACACAAACTATGATATTTCCGTTAAATAGAAACCAAGGCATTTCTCTTACATTTAAGGTTTCATACACAATAATTAGTGAACTAATGCTAGAGAACAGACAGACATATAAACCTCTCTTTATATACCGGAAACACAAATGAGCCCCATAAAAGTATATATGCAATTTGGTGCGACTTAGCGAGAACTTTTCCCCAAAAAAGAAAACAATAAGTGTTAAACGACTATTTACAAAAGCAAGGCAAAGATGAGTAGTTAAATATTTCAAATAAATATATATATAAATATATGTATACACCATATACGAAATTATAACGAGTCTATATAGAAGCGACAACAAGATATGGGAAAACAGAAGCAAATTATACGACAAGTTTTGTTACGACGCGTTGAGAGCGAGTGTATTGTGTGTAGTTGTTTATATATAACTTGTTATTGGTAGACCGGACATCCAAACGTATGTAATTCCATCGGAGTTCCCAGCTGCGGACTCCCAGCGGTTTTTATTTGTATTTAAGTTTTAAGCGAGCAAAGTTCGAAGAAAAGCCAAATATGAGTAAATCGAAAACCCAACCAGTTGGTAGTTTATAAAACAAAGTTTAGCAATAATAAATCATACACATAGTAAACTCTTTGTACACGCACACGAAAGGGGGGATCCGATCCCCTTACAACTTGGACTTTGGCTTCTTGAGCATGTTACGCAGGACGCGGCGCAGGATCTTCCCGCTAGGGTTCTTTGGAATTTCGTCCACGAAGATCACGCCACCCCTAAGCCGCTTGGCCGGCGAGGCGAGCTCGTTCACGAACTGAATGACATCATTCTCGCTCAGCTGGACATTGGCTTGCTTCACCACGAAGGCCAGCGGCAGCTCGCCGGCCTCTTCGTCCGGCTTGCCAATGACCGCCGCATCCTTGATCTTCTCGTGGGTGAGCAGCAGCGCCTCAATCTCGGCTGGAGGCACCTGGAAACCCTTGTACTTGATCAGCTCCTTGATGCGGTCCACGATGAAGAACTCGAAATCGTCATCGTAGTACCCAATGTCACCCGTGTGCAGCCACCCGTCCTTGATGGCCGTCTGGGTGGACTTGGAGTCCCCGATGTAGCCCTTCATGATGCCGTCGCCCTTGAAGCACAGCTCTCCGCGCTCGTTGGCACCCAGAATCTTGCCGGTATCCGGATCGATGACCTTGGCGTAGATGCCCACCTTGAGCACGCCCACGCTACCAGGTTTGCAGAAGTCATCGTTCTGCGTTAGCACGCTCAACGTGGACTCGCTCAGTCCGTACCCCTGGCGGATGAATGGCACACCGATGCGCTCCTTGATCTGGTCCTCGGTCTCGCGACTCAGGGGTGCGGCTCCACACAGCAGAACCATCAGCGAGGACAGATCGTACTTGTCCACGATGGGGTGCTTGGCCAAGAACACCATTAGCGGGGGCACCATGAAGGCCATCATCACGCGGTACTTCTCGATCGCCGACAAAAACAAGTTCTCCTCGAATTTGGGCAGGTACACCAGGCGGGCACCCCTGCAGGCAGTGGTGATGAGAGTAAGACAGCCGAAGGCATGGAACCAAGGAATGACGGTCAGCAGAGTAACCTCCTCCATGGGGATCACCGTGGGCTGGCTGTTTAAAGGAGATCAATTGTCAAGTCTGCTGTCATGTGGCGAACAGAAACTTACATTTGTGAGTCGAGGGTGGCCGCCAGATTCATCTGAGTGAGCTGCACGCCCTTGGGCAGTCCCGTGGTTCCCGAAGAGCACACAATCAGGGCCACATCCTCGTTCTTATTAGCCTGCGGGGACGTGAACTCCGATGGGGTCTTGAACTTGTCGTTGTCCATCAGATCCTTGAGGTCATGGATGTTCTTGAAGTTCTTGGAGCTGCCGTTGATGGCGATGATGCCTTTGACGAACTTGTTTTTGCTAGCCACCTTGGCCACTCGATCCAAAGTAAGCTTGGAGGCGAATATGATCTTGGGCTTGGATAGGTTAATGGCATGATCGACCTCGCGATCCGAGTAGGTCACGTTAAGAGGAGCCACTGTAGCACCCACTGCAAAGCCGGCGAACATGGCCAGGGCAAAGTTAACGCTGTTCTCGCTGGACAGACCGATGACGTCGTTCTGTTTCACGCCCAATTTCTGGAGAATGTAAGCGAGGCGGACAATGGACTTGTGCATGAAGCTGGCGGTGTACTCCACTCCGTTGACGGCATCCACCAGCACAGTCTGGTCGCCGAAGCTCTTGTATTGGTCCAGTACATACTGGCCGACGGATCTAGAGTCCTGGGCCTCCCGAGCGGTCACAGGACCGCCGTACACAATGTTACCGGGCAGGAGAGACGAAGTCATATTGGGGCTGAAAAAGATTAGAGTAAATGCAGCAATTACAACAGATAACAAGTGAATAAAGCTACTAATCTACCAGAAATATGTGCTAGTTGTCAGATCAAGTTAATAGTTTTTAAGGGAAAACCGTATGTAGTTTGTATTGGCCCGGGGGTGGAACGTTATGCCAACCCTCGAACTCGAATCGAACGGTTTCTTGCACTCCAATTACCACACTTTGAACCCGGCGGCTATCTAATCGTATTCGGCCAGTAGATCTTTGGGTGCCACCCAAGTTTCAATTTTTCGATGTTAGCAATATACGCGCTATCTCAGTTTGTGGATTATAGAGAATCTGCATGTTAGCCAGTCCACGTTCCAAAGGTCGTAGGTCTCAGCAGATGAGGCGACACATCTCGCATCTCCCGCTCGCTGGGCACTTGATTTTAAGGCACACACAGAGTCAAAGCTTGTAATGTTTATATTTTCCGCGGCCAATACGTCGACTGTCATTGATGTATTACCCATGATCCACTTACAGTCACTTTTTCTAGGTTACACCTCCTGGGCGATGCGAGCGGGAGCGGCTTCGGAGCGAAACTAACCGAGTGCGGTTCGGCAGAGGATGAAAATCGGGGCGGGCTGCGCTTATGCCAAGATTAGATTAACGAATTTGATAAGTCCGCTGGATCCAGAGCGCAGGCGCGTACAGTGACACTTTTTTCTATTCTAAGTAAACTAAATAGTGCAATTACGGTCGTTCAGGGGGTGGCGGCAGGGAGAGAATTCGCAGCTGTTCGGTTTAAAAACATCGCCCGTAGTGGCATCCCACAATCATGTCAAATTTTAATGAATACTCTGGCAACACCGTTTACATACATTTAAATTTTAAAACGTTAACATAAGTATCCTTGAATAAGGAATAGATAATTGCTTTATCTCTTTCACAACAAATATTCAAATCTAATAGTAAATCTTATGATTTTTATAATAAGGTAACTTTTTTATTTTATTATTTTTAACGCAGTGAAGAAGTGACTTATAAACTTATCTTAATAAATCTTTCCAGACAGTCTTATTTCTATTCCCATAAATACATTTTCAAGTATAAACGGGCCACTATATCGTATAGATGGAACAATAGGAGAATTTAAATAAAAATATATTAATTTGTCGTATTTCAACAAATTTTCGGGGAAATCAAAATTTAACAAAAAAGGAAGCTAACTTCGACACGCCGAAGTTTGTATACCCTTGCAGATTGCAATTGGATCACTAAGAATCGAGCCATTCTGGTTAAATAACACAGGAACACAAAATTAAACTTTGTGAAATTTCCACGAACCATTTCAAGTTTTCCATGATATTTGGTAAAAGTCCCATACAAAATTATTTTCCATCACCGACAGGTTCCGCGGTATACCTAAGAATACAAAAAACCGATGTTTGCCGACATTTTGAATTACGTGGCCTATATAATCGGACTTACCTTTATTATTTTCGGTAGGACCTACTCTCAATACATCACGGCACTACTAAAAAATAGTCCCAATCGTGGACCATTGCCCATGTCTTTGGAATTCGACGCCCAAGTTGAAACTCCCAAATTTTCAACATTTCTGTGATGAAAAAACAATTCTGAGAATTAAATCTTATATGGAACTAATTTTAAATATTCATTGAATCTATTGTTCATTGTATTCTTTAATTTCGGTTTAAAGCGTTTTCATGAGGACATTTTATTGGATTTATTAAACGAATAAAACCGCTTTTTTGGTTTGATTATCTACTACTATTTTCTGTCAAAATTCAAATAAGTCAAGGCAACCTATAGAATGCGAGTAAATATGTATCTTTTTATATATACATAATATAAAAAAAAACTCATTTTCAAATGTTCATAACTCAGCCAAAAATGCATGAAATTCAATTCGGAAAGCTGTTCTGAGTTGCCTTTTCTAAGCCTAACAAAACTGCATACTACGTTTAGGGTTCTTTTCAATTTCATTTTTTCTCAATTTTTTAGAATTTTAATGATGGTACCCCTTACATATTTTGCAAAACTAACTAATTTTCAAAGGTTCATAACTCAGCCAAAAATGCATGAAATTCAATTCGGAAAGCTGTTCTGAGTTGCCTTTTCTAAGCCTAACAAAACTGCATACTACGTTTAGGGTTCTTTTCAATTTCTTTTTCTCAATTTTTTAGAATTTTAATGATGGTACCCCTTACATATTTTGCAAAACTAACTAATTTTCAAAGGTTCATAACTCAGCCAAAAATGCATGAAATTCAATTCGGAAAGCTGTTCAGAATTGCCTTTTCTAAGCCTAACAAAACTGCATACTACGTTTAGGGTTCTTTTCAATTTCATTTTTTCTCAATTTTTTAGAATTTTAATGATGGTACCCCTTACATATTTTGCAAAAATGGTGCGATATATTTTTGGGGAAAATAACTAATTTTCAAAGGTTCATAACTCAGCCACAAATGCATGAAATTCAATTCGGAAAGCTGTTCTGAGTTGCCTTTTCTAAGCCTAACAAAACTGCATACTACGTTTAGGGTTCTTTTCAATTTCATTTTTTCTCAATTTTTTAGAATTTTAATGATAAGTACCCCTTACATATTTTGCAAAACTAACTAATTTTCAAAGGTTCATAACTCAGCCAAAAATGCATGAAATTCAATTCGGAAAGCTGTTCAGAATTGCCTTTTCTAAGCCTAACAAAACTGCATACTACGTTTAGGGTTCTTTTCAATTTCATTTTTTCTCAATTTTTTAGAATTTTAATGATAGTACCCCTTACATATTTTGCAAAACTAACTAATTTTCAAAGGTTCATAACTCAGCCAAAAATGCATGAAATTCAATTCGGAAAGCTGTTCAGAATTGCCTTTTCTAAGCCTAACAAAACTGCATACTACGTTTAGGGTTCTTTTCAATTTCATTTTTTCTCAATTTTTTAGAATTTTAATGATAAGTACCCCTTACATATTTTGCAAAACTAACTAATTTTCAAAGGTTCATAACTCAGCCAAAAATGCATGAAATTCAATTCGGAAAGCTGTTCAGAATTGCCTTTTCTAAGCCTAACAAAACTGCATACTACGTTTAGGGTTCTTTTCAATTTCATTTTTTCTCAATTTTTTAGAATTTTAATGATAGTACCCCTTACATATTTTGCAAAACTAACTAATTTTCAAAGGTTCATAACTCAGCCAAAAATGCATGAAATTCAATTCGGAAAGCTGTTCAGAATTGCCTTTTCTAAGCCTAACAAAACTGCATACTACGTTTAGGGTTCTTTTCAATTTCATTTTTTCTCAATTTTTTAGAATTTTAATGATGGTACCCCTTACATATTTTGCAAAAATGGTGCGATATATTTTTGGGGAAAATAACTAATTTTCAAAGGTTCATAACTCAGCCACAAATGCATGAAATTCAATTCGGAAAGCTGTTCTGAGTTGCCTTTTCTAAGCCTAACAAAACTGCATACTACGTTTAGGGTTCTTTTCAATTTCATTTTTTCTCAATTTTTTAGAATTTTAATGATAAGTACCCCTTACATATTTTGCAAAACTAACTAATTTTCAAAGGTTCATAACTCAGCCAAAAATGCATGAAATTCAATTCGGAAAGCTGTTCTGAGTTGCCTTTTCTAAGCCTAACAAAACTGCATACTACGTTTAGGGTTCTTTTCAATTTCTTTTTCTCAATTTTTTAGAATTTTAATGATGGTACCCCTTACATATTTTGCAAAAATAACTAATTTTCAAAGGTTCATAACTCAGCCAAAAATGCATGAAATTCAATTCGGAAAGCTGTTCAGAATTGCCTTTTCTAAGCCTAACAAAACTGCATACTACGTTTAGGGTTCTTTTCAATTTCATTTTTTCTCAATTTTTTAGAATTTTAATGATGGTACCCCTTACATATTTTGCAAAAATGGTGCGATATATTTTTGGGGAAAATAACTAATTTTCAAAGGTTCATAACTCAGCCACAAATGCATGAAATTCAATTCGGAAAGCTGTTCTGAGTTGCCTTTTCTAAGCCTAACAAAACTGCATACTACGTTTAGGGTTCTTTTCAATTTCATTTTTTCTCAATTTTTTAGAATTTTAATGATAGTACCCCTTACATATTTTGCAAAACTAACTAATTTTCAAAGGTTCATAACTCAGCCAAAAATGCATGAAATTCAATTCGGAAAGCTGTTCTGAGTTGCCTTTTCTAAGCCTAACAAAACTGCATACTACGTTTAGGGTTCTTTTCAATTTCATTTTTTCTCAATTTTTTAGAATTTTAATGATGGTACCCCTTACATATTTTGCAAAAATGGTGCGATATATTTTTGGGGAAAATAACTAATTTTCAAAGGTTCATAACTCAGCCACAAATGCATGAAATTCAATTCGGAAAGCTGTTCTGAGTTGCCTTTTCTAAGCCTAACAAAACTGCATACTACGTTTAGGGTTCTTTTCAATTTCATTTTTTCTCAATTTTTTAGAATTTTAATGATAGTACCCCTTACATATTTTGCAAAACTAACTAATTTTCAAAGGTTCATAACTCAGCCAAAAATGCATGAAATTCAATTCGGAAAGCTGTTCTGAGTTGCCTTTTCTAAGCCTAACAAAACTGCATACTACGTTTAGGGTTCTTTTCAATTTCATTTTTTCTCAATTTTTTAGAATTTTAATGATGGTACCCCTTACATATTTTGCAAAACTAACTAATTTTCAAAGGTTCATAACTCAGCCAAAAATGCATGAAATTCAATTCGGAAAGCTGTTCTGAGTTGCCTTTTCTAAGCCTAACAAAACTGCATACTACGTTTAGGGTTCTTTTCAATTTCATTTTTTCTCAATTTTTTAGAATTTTAATGATAAGTACCCCTTACATATTTTGCAAAACTAACTAATTTTCAAAGGTTCATAACTCAGCCAAAAATGCATGAAATTCAATTCGGAAAGCTGTTCTGAGTTGCCTTTTCTAAGTCTAACAAAACTGCATACTACGTTTAGGGTTCTTTTCAATTTCATTTTTTCTCAATTTTTTAGAATTTTAATGATAGTACCCCTTACATATTTTGCAAAACTAACTAATTTTCAAAGGTTCATAACTCAGCCAAAAATGCATGAAATTCAATTCGGAAAGCTGTTCTGAGTTGCCTTTTCTAAGCCTAACAAAACTGCATACTACGTTTAGGGTTCTTTTCAATTTCATTTTTTCTCAATTTTTTAGAATTTTAATGATAGTACCCCTTACATATTTTGCAAAACTAACTAATTTTCAAATGTTCATAACTCAGCCAAAAATGCATGAAATTCAATTCGGAAAGCTGTTCTGAGTTGCCTTTTCTAAGCCTAACAAAACTGCATACTACGTTTAGGGTTCTTTTCAATTTCATTTTTTCTCAATTTTTTAGAATTTTAATGATAGTACCCCTTACATATTTTGCAAAACTAACTAATTTTCAAAGGTTCATAACTCAGCCAAAAATGCATGAAATTCAATTCGGAAAGCTGTTCTGAGTTGCCTTTTCTAAGCCTAACAAAACTGCATACTACGTTTAGGGTTCTTTTCAATTTCATTTTTTCTCAATTTTTTAGAATTTTAATGATAGTACCCCTTACATATTTTGCAAAACTAACTAATTTTCAAAGGTTCATAACTCAGCCAAAAATGCATGAAATTCAATTCGGAAAGCTGTTCAGAATTGCCTTTTCTAAGCCTAACAAAACTGCATACTTCGTTTAGGGTTCTTTTC